TCAAAACTGGTGCATCTGTAATAAACCATCTTTAAATAAATGTCCTAGGAGAGTTCAGATATGATGCATTTTTAATATGCCCTTTATGCTGTTTTTTTTCCCCCATATTGCCAAGGAAAGCTGAAACACCTTCAAATCTTATGAGAAGTGATAGCAATAGGGAGTTTCTGAAATTTCTAGAAACATACGAGAAACCTCTCTGTTTTTGTGGACCACAAGACATGACTATAGCACACTCATTAAGAACTATGATTTTTCTTTGGGTACTTAGAATTGAACCCAAGGGTGCTTTACCATTGAGCTGCATCTCCAGTCCTTTGTGTTTTCTATTTTGAGACAGTGTTTTGCTGTTACTAAGGGTCTCACTAAACTGCCTAGGCTGGCCTTGAACTTGTGATCCTCTGCTTCAGCCTCCTGAGTTGCTAGAATTATAGGCTTGCACCAGCTTGCCTGGTTCATTAAGACCTTTTAAGTCATATCAACAAGCCATCTTTCCCTCAGGTTTTTTTCAGAATGACTCTAACAGGTATTTTCAACTCAGCTCCAGACACTTTTATGGGCAACACAAAAGACATACATTAAATGCAAAGACATAATAGTAACCTAAATGAGGGACAAATATAACCTGAGCAACACCTTCACTGCCAGACAGTGAGGTAAAGAAGTCCCTAACATCCTTTTCTTATAGATTTGTTTACTTGATTTTATTTTGCTCTCTGTGACCCCAGAGTTTACATTTTTGCTATATTGAATTGGCAGAGTTAGTGTTAGAATATTATAGAAAGTAATTTGTGACTTTAGTGGGCAGATTGCTAAGCATTCTTTAGGGTCTTAAAAGACTTTGTAGAACATCTAGTCCAATTCCCCCTTTCACCCATGGTGTGTGGGGGGGAATAGGTCAGAGAAACCACAGGCATTACTGATGACAAAGTGATGGAGGTCATTGGAGTCCCATACATTGGCCAAAGACTTTGGGGAGAGGGGATAAGGAAAAAGGGTAAAAAAATAACAGAGGTGTGTATGTTTAGATTACTCTTAGTGACCTTAGGAGGTAAATGGAAAAATACTATCTTATGTAGGCTAAAAGAAAACAAGTTTTGGTTTAAAGCCTCTAGTAAATAAAAGATTACACAAATTCTTCAAATATTTGTTTTTTACCTTCCCCCTTTCCTGCTTTTGTGTGAAGCTACTACGTTTAATACCTCACCAGAGAGTCTTTATATTCAAGTCTTTTACACTGATTCATCTTTTTTAGGAAATTTGCTTTTCTTGGTTGGAAGTGATGACTTAAACATGGACTGTATATGAGCACATGAACAACCCTTTTTCTTAGCATAAAGATAATGCAACAAGGTTTAACTAATCACATGTCTCTACTATAAATAAAATAAATAGTACACATATACTTTTTCAAGTCTTTTGCAAGTTTTTATAATATAATACTTAGGAATACACAAATTATGAGAAACTTTTCAACTGGTAAGTTCCTATTTTATGCTGTATCACCAAACAAGTGGAATAGTACCTAAATATATGACAATTAACAAAATGACTTTAATATTTTGTATAATTTAGCCTCACTTATATAAAAGAATTACAAAGTTCCTTTGAAGGCATAAATTAGATCTATAGCTGCATTTTGAAAATGATAAAATTCATGATCTAACCACAGTTTAGGAATGTAATCACATTTATGATTAGTTGGTGTGATCAAAGACTTATTTGGGGAAATATTTTCAGCAAATGTTAACTATACCTAGAGAAATCTCATGTTAATCACAAGATTTACAAGGTTAACTTCCTCTGAGTTGGAGTGCCCTATGCATTCTTTACTTTGCAAAAACATTCAGTTTTTACCAGTGCTCTATTGTTGGTTGACTATGGTAGATTTTTTTTCTTTTTCTTTTTTAATAGATTTAAGGTGGATCCCACATCTGGTTATATATGTCCCTAAAGTGTCTGGTTTTGAAATAAAAATAAAAGTTAGAAGGTATTGGAGTGGGATGAAGGGGCCATTTTAATTGCCTCAGAGAATCTCCTAACCAATTTTCATTTGCCTCATTGGTGTCCTTGGATAAAGGAGATTGGAGGGAGGACGCAAAACATAAAGCCAAGGAATCTTCAAAAAGTCATAGGTGCAAAAAAAAAAAAAAAAAAAAAAAAAAAAGCAATGGAAAAAGTAGATGGGAACTGAACTCTGAGACGGTTCAAAACAAGCAATGTCGAGATGCTTTATGATGACACTACAACTATTGTGTCTGTGGCTCCAAAATTTTATTTCTTAATCACGATAGGTCAAAATAAATAAACATCCTCCACCACATTTTCTAGACCCACTGGAAAAATTTTCCTGGGGTCTGAGTGCTAACTGTATAAAGAGACTACTCAACTACATTGAAGCAATCAGGTAGAATAATGTTTATACAGTCACTGAGTTTGGGATCAGGTGTTCTTCTGCATTTGTGTCTATTTTGATAAAATAACGTTCCGTGCATAACAATGACTTAAAACTGGTAAACAAGACTGGAGACCCCGCAATGGCTGGTTGCAGCTCTAATCGCACAGCTCCTGGAGAGGAAAAACTCCATCTCCCTCGGAACAGGAGCCCTCTAGGAATCCAGCCCCTGGGCCAGAAGCAAGGCCCGCGGTCTGAGACCCACGCTGGAGTGGCGCCTCCCGACGCTCTCAGACCGCCCCAAGCCTGAGCTCCAGGGAGTTGGAGCAGAGGATCTGCGCTCAGGGCCATTACTCCCGCGGCGCGCCTTGCGCTTGGGCAGTGCTTAAGGCGGTGACACGGGTCTCCAAGGCTGGTTTGCAGGCTGGAACTTCCACGCTGTATGTCCTTGAGGGATGACTCTGTCCCCTCTCCCTCCCCTCCACCCTCTTCTCTCCCTCCTGGCGGTTCCCACTGAGTGGAAGGAGCGAGAAGAGAAGATGGGTGTCTGAGACCTGGCCAGGGCTTAGAGTCCCGTAGGGTGTCTGGAGCTTACACTCTGGATTCTTAAGTCGCTCACAGCCAGTCCATCAGGGTCCACCAGAACCACCTCGGGATTCTGAAGGAGGCAGTTCCCGGGGTACAGTTGGGAAGATTCATGTGCAGGAACCGGGGACGGTTGATTTGAGGAGTCTTTGCCTTTGGTAACTTCAGGCACCTAGAGCTCAGGGATACGATTTGGTGTCTCCAAGAGTTGGACAGTGGGAAGCTGCAGGGGTGTGTGGGGGGGTAACGTTGGTGTTTAAACTGTGCCGCGCAGCACGCAACCTTAATCTAGTGGCTCTCTTTTGGGTCTCAGGTGGCTTCTGTGTCAAATGGAGGAGTGACTGGTGGAGGGAAGGCGCTTTAGACGTCGCAAAGAGTTCTCTAAGATGTAAGGAGATGGGATTTCTCTAGACTGGTGGTGCGTGGGCCCTCGTGGCTGCCACCACCCGTCCTGGATCTCCCCATTCCTCCAATCTTTTTGTTGGCAGTGTCCTCCGGTGGGTCGCAGAGTGTTGAGGGTAGTTTCTAGGCACATCTCTCCGTTGTTCTTTTAGATCAGCTCAGGTCCAGCCATCAGAGAGAGCACTTATTTGAGACCGGTACTGAGCCATCAATATCTGTTTCCCTCACTCCACCAGCCATCTCCAACCTTTTGGATAGTCCACCTCTCCTTAGGGCACCACGGTGAGGTGGCCCGTGGACCATAGTGGGTTGGCAGAGCTAGGGAAGGCAGGAAAACCTATGGGTGCCTCGGAGACCCTCTGGTTTGGGGGAAAGGCGGGGTTTTACCGCGAGAGGAGTTCTAGAGAAATAGTTGGACTAGGAATTCGGAGACTGGGGAATTTTACAGAGCAAGAGTGTCCGTTCTCTATTTTCTAGGCGAATATAATCCAGCCCCACACCAGCATCTTCCAGCTGCTCCCCAGTTAAGGCAAAGCCCTCTTCCTAAACTGTCGGTCTTGCCTACCAGGGTGTCGCCAGCTTTTCCGCATGGGGACATTTCGTTCTGACTTCGCCCAGCTATTGTGCCCAAGGCCTGGGGAGCTCCTCTGTGTCCTTCTACCATGTACCGAACAAAATGTCCACGAGCCCCGCAGACGTTCAGCCCAACACCGGGCTGCACTCCAGATGATGGCCGAGGGCCACTCTCCCCCTCCCCCCACCTCGGGCTCGGGCAGGGATTCTTCTCCCCCCGGATGAGAACCAGTCCTGACCAGGTGCCCCACGAGCCGCGTGGTGAGCCCTGTTACCAGCGTCCCGCCAGGCAGATCTCTCGGACAGCCCCAACTTAATTTCCTGGTCCTTGTGGCAAGTTCCCTTAGAAAACCTCTCCCAGTTTTCTCCAGTCCTTCGCAAAGAATCAAGAAACGTTAAAATCCCTATAGAGAGTCTCGATTTAATAGTAGGAGAGGGTGGAGCGGGCGGGGCCGAGTTGTTCTTGGGATTGCATTTCTCCCCACTTTGAACGATCTCGGGCGGATAAAGCGCAAGTTTGTGCACTTGGTCCACTGAGGGATCGCAAATCAGAAAACAAAACAGCGGCCAAGGAAATGTGGAGTTTGTACAGTTGCCGCTGCAAATGGGTGTGCGGAAATGCTAGCAATGTGAACTTTCTACAGATCGTGTATGGAGGGAGCTAAAGGAAAGGAGGGAGGGGAGAGGGCTGGAGGGAGCCGCGTGGCGTGAATTGTGCCGGCGTGGGAGGGTGTCTGTGTGCCTAAGAGTGGAGGGGATGTCGCGACGGGGGCAGAAGAAGGAGTCGATCACGAATTGCAGGCTAATTGGCTTAAGACATTTTGCAAGCGCTGGAAAAGGTCGTTGAAGGAGTTCACTGCACAGAAAAAAAAAAAAAAATCTTAAAAAAGAGTGCCGGGCATGCGCACAGAGAGGATGCCATATTGGAATGAGGCTGTAGTGGGAGCTGGAGGGACCCGAGCCGGCGCGCGAGGGAGGCGGCGGGCAGGGAGCGAGTGAACCAGGGAGGCGAGGGCGGGCGAGCGAGCGAGGCCGGCGCCTTTTCCGGAGACTTCCGGGGCCAGGGTCCCCGCCGAGGGCGGAACAAACTTCATCAGGTAGGACGCAGCTCCAGCTACTGCCCTCGGCCCGCGATCAGACCTCCGGCCCGCAGGTTGAGTGCGCCGGTCAGCGTCTTTTTGCTAGCTTCGCGGGGTGAAAAAAAGGGAAGACTAAGCAAGCCGGGTGGGTGTTGGGGGAGGAAGGAGAAAAACAGCCAAAGAGAAGGGCTGGAGAAGAAAGCGACAGCACTTGAGCGAAGCCTCAAACTCCTCTCTGCGCTCTGGGTTGTCATTTTTTGCTTCCTCTGTCGCCTTCCCCCGAGACTCCTGGGCTCTGAAAAGCCCGGCCGTGCGGGAGTCGGTCCAGAGTTGCAAAGTGTCCTCTTTCCTCCGGGTGCAGCCTGTCCCCTCCCGCCACCCACCCTTCTCGTTTGTGCACTCCTTTTAGCGATGAAGCAGTCCCTGCTACTACCCTGCGCTCCCCAGTCTCTAACGCACCCGAGACCCCTTTTGGTGTGTGTTTGGAGGTTTGGGGAGAAGGAGGTGGTGGGGAAGGGAGACTGGAGATCAGCAAAGGGGAAAAACATCGTTCAGACATTTGGAATCGCCCCTTGGAGGCATTTGCCTGTGTCACTGAAATGAAATTGTCAGTAGTAGTTTCGGAGCGTGCTCCAGCGAGGATGATCTTTTTGTTCATTTTTCCCCCCTTAAAGTAATATCATGTCACTTGGGGCTTTCCTGTTGTCTACTCTTATCAGACCTCTTCTCAAAATTACTACCCAATCCAGCCCTGGAGTTTATTTTTAAATATGCATATGTCTTGCTGAAATTCTCCAAAAAGCAACTGTATGAACTGCTAGATATATTTATTGATTTCGACCCGAAGCGGTGGAAGGGGATTAGCCAGGGAAGGGAGATTCTTTGGGGTGGGAAGTGGTTGATTCGGGTGGCCAGATGCACCTCCAGAGCCCCATTTGTACTTGTGTTTCTTGGAAGCGCAGCAACAGCGGGGAAGGAGTCTTTAGACACGGTGCCGGTTTCAATATGGCGGGCTAAGGTGGCTTTTAAAAACTGAAAATAAAGGTTTTGAGGTGGGAAAAAACCCAACTGAAGTGGCCACGCCTGAATTTTGAGTCTCTTTGGTTACCCCAGGAGCCGCTTTAGCGAATTAAGTGGGAAAAAAGAAAGGGAACGAGTTGCCCCAGTTTTTTCCGTGGTTAGAGTCTGTATGTCAAGTCCATTGCTAGAGGGTAAAGGGTGGAGGGGTGCCTCCAGCCGGGACTAGGGCATCCAAGCGCAACTGCCACCGGTGTCTGTGGATTAGTGTACACGCCTTGTAGGTGCAGTTGCCGGGGGAGGTGTTACAGAGATCCACCGTAAATGTTTGTATGTGCGTCGCGGAACCAGACCCTGCCACGATTTGACGTGACAAACTGCTGACACGTGGTGCAAAATACATGAGGGCAGACGGAATGATTTATTTCAGCTTTCTAGGAGACAAGCTCGCTCTCTCCCTCTGTGTGCTGGATCCTGTGCGAGTAAACCCTTGATTAGACGGAGCAAGGAGATGCTTATTAAAAGGACTGGCCAGAGTATTGGGTGCAATGGGGCTGCAGACGTCAGTGGGATTTTGTGTGGGCTGCATTTAGTGGTGGGCTCTTGCTTCGCGCTCGGGTGGGAAGTTAGGGACCATTGCGGGTGGCGGAGGACGAAAGTGCAGGAGTACATGGGTGGGGGCACGCGGACCTCAGCTGAAAGGCGTTTTAGGGTCAGTGTGAGGGTTTGCCCTGTTGAGTTTTGGGTTTGACGCTTTAGGGAATGTGGGGGGTGGGTTGAGGGACAGCGTTCTGGGAGGAAATCCTTCCTTGCTCAGGCTGGGCACAGAAGGCAAGCCAAGAGGGGCGCCTCCAGTCTTGGCGGGAGCGTGGGCAAGGCTTTATCCTTGGGGTGTAAATAGGCTGCGAAGTGCTCTGGAAAAGCCCTCTTACTGGGCCTGGGAGGATCCGGGAATGCAGTTTGGACACAAAACCAGACCCAGTTAGGGGAGTCGTAAGGAACGCTAGCAAACCCGAGCTCAGAGAAGAGTCACCCGGAATGCGGGAACGTCGTTTTAGTTAGGAACGGAGGTCCCCGACAGGGGTCGCCCGTGTCCAGGACGCAGCGGCCGTGCGCTGGACGCGCGGCAGTGCCAACGGAAAAGACCCGGGAAGGGGGGCGGGAGCCACGCGGTGGTCGCACGGTTTCTCCAGAGCTAGGCGAGGGCAGGTCCAGGGAACCGTCTTCCGATCGTGCAGTGGCCAAGCGCTGGCAGACGTTTTTAAATGAGATGGTTAAAAGGACAGTGCTGGCTAGGTCTACAGTTACCGCAGCAACATGGTCTCGGGGCATTTAAAGGGGCCCACAAGGAGGGGGTGCGCTACAGGGTCACTTAGCTGGACGCTGTGGGGTCGAAGGGTCTGATTCCCTAGCGGTGTAGGGGCAATCAGCACCGGGATTGGAGACCCTAAGGCAGGTTTTCCCTCCCACCTGGGTGGCGAGGCTGAGCGATTGGAGACGCGCGAACCCAGACGCACCCCCCCACCCCCACCTGGGGACGGAGCGCGCGGCGCGTCCCCGGCCCTTCCAGCCTGCGCTTCGGCGCGTCCTCTGGGAACAAGCTCTTCCGTGGGCTCCGCTGAGGTGGAGACCATACTAAAATGGCTCTGCCTGGTAAACTGCAGTTTCAGCCTCGTACCCCTCCCCTCGTCCTCCTGACGTCGCCGCTGACAAGGGCACAATCCTCTCCAACTCCCGAAACCCACGATTTTGCACCGGGCCGTGCGGTGGACGCGAGTATACAGTCGATTGCAAAGAACATTCCACAGGATTCTCGAAGGGCCCAAGTTTTCTTTTTTTGTGGGTAGGAGCGGGAGGAGGGAGGAACTGAGACGCTGCAGGAGCCCAGCCGACTACCGCCCCAGCACCGAGGGGGTTTGGGGTGCTCCAGCGGTTGGGGCTGGAGACTTTTAGGGATAAAAATACGAGGGGAAGTGAATGGTCGCCATGCGGAGCGATGGCCACTGCTCGTCCTTGATTGCGTTTTCAGTGTCCAACAGTCCAGAGACGACGCCAGGAAGCCTGGGAGACCATTCCCAAACTTCTGGAGACCTGCTCGCAGTTTCGCTTTCGGAATTTTCGGGATCTGTGGGTTTCTAGAGTTGGGTGGCATTCCGGGAAGGCAAGGCGACGTTCGCTGCCCCGTCGTGCGGTCCTCGGACTTCTCGCCCATCCCTGCGCCCCCTTGCTTCGCCTGCCTTATCTCGCCGCGCAGTGTGAGGGTTTGGACTCCCCGGCCCGCGCGCCGCCCCCCGCGCCGCATTCGGAGGGCTCCAGCCGCGCAGCCGCGGCGGATCCGGAGCCGAGTGGTGGGAAACCGTTTTCAACGAGGGCCCGCATCGCTTGGATCCGGAACCATCACCGCAGCCCACCGCTCTCCCACACCCCTCCGCCCTTGCACGGTAGCCAAGGGACTTGGGGGGACCGATTGGCGTGTCTACACGGAGTGAATGGATCCAGGTTCCACCAGGTCGGAGGAAAAGCGTAAACAGGCTCAGAAATTCGGCCTCATTTCCTGGGGAGGCGGTTGGGGGTGGGGAGAGAGACTGAGCGGGTAAGCGGGAGGAGGAGGGAGAGGGAAGAGACCTTGGTGGTCAGAAGGAATTGTTTGCCAGGCTCTCTTTTGAGATTGGGGATCTGCTACTTTTTCCCTACTAGGCATTAAATTTGCACACACACACTGCTTCCTGCCATAAATAAATACCGTCGCAGATCTTTATCTTAGCCCGTTTGCTGGGACCAAGCCTCCTGCCTGCGAGGGGGGCTGGAGAAATGCCTGCGCACCCTAAGACTCCAGGCCCTCTCCCGAAGTTACTGCTCCCTAAAGGACCCATTCCTGAGCGGGTATAAAACACTGCCCAGAGGCAGGGGGTCTCAGCAGCCCCCATCCTAGGGAAAGGAGCTGTCAAGCACCCTGTTACCCTGTTTTGATGTGTGTCACTCCGTAAGTGCTAGCCAAGACCTGCTGAGATGAGAACTGAAGATTTCCCATTTCCAGTTGGGATACTGGCACCTTGATCCTCAAGCACGCAACCCCCTGGGGAGATGCATTTCCCTAATGATGGGAGTAATTGGTCAGAGAATTTTTCCTCTTCGTGTGTTCTTGCAGAAATGGTGGACTATTTTTATTTTTTAAAAGTCTTTCTAGCTATAAATGACTAGCTTGACAAGAAGGTGGAAGGGAAAGCAGGCTAGGTACCTGTGTCTTCCCTGTTCCTTTTTTGTAAGACTTCTCTGGAAGTATTAAGTGCTCATCAAATCCCTTTTCTGTCCACTAAGGTGGCATTTTTTTTTTCATTTTTCTTTACACACCAGTGCCCCTAAAGGACTCAGAAGAAATATTAAGTGATGGAGACATCTTTTTAAGCGCAAGTCCATGAGATTGTTTAGTTGATACAGGCTGCTGACAGGATCTGAGAAGTCCATGTAATGAAAATTCAAACTTTACAGAGCTTACACTTTAGGTTAATAAGTTTTTCATCAGAGTGAAATATTTTTCCCCTTTAAAAAAAAGTAATTTTAACAAGAAAGGTCCACTGTGAGATTTGAATGACCTCCAGTTCTGGCATAATAGGTTTGGACAACATTTCCTCTCTTTGTATTTCACTAGTTGGAATTTCTAGAGTTCATGTAATGGTGGGGGGTCATGAGGTGTTTTTATTCTGCTCTAACCTAGGAACTCCTAAAGTTTTTTTTTTTTTTATTACCAAAATGATATTGGGATCTGTAATTGATTAGACATTTTTGTGGTTCTTCTAACTATTTTAAAATCTGCATTACTTTGGCAGCAACTTATTGTCCCCATTCTACAAATTTAAAAATTTAGGGAAGTTATTCTTGGTACAGCAAACCAAAAATTCAACGTGTGCATTTGGTTGGTGGTATGGGGATCCAACAAGGAAGAGAGGGGAACATCAGAAGGCCTGGCTTCTAGTTTCAGGGATGATATGTTTAGCTGTGTG